AAGGCCTTAAGGGGGACTATGAATGTTAGACATCCTTGGCTTTGGTTTAGAGAAGCACCTGCAAGCTTGGGTGCTTATAATGTCACTGCTCCCACTGGGTAGGAAATTCACAAAAATAGGATTCCTTAAAAAATGTTTCACAGTCACACATCCCAGGTGATGTTGCCATGCCCAAATGTCCTGATGCATCTGGTATTCCTGCTTTTACATTAATTGAGCTGAGATGTTGTGTACTTATTCTACATAGCATCTATGGACTGTTGTGTTTTTTAAAAAAATAGCTTATGGACCTGAATATGCCTTTACAAACCAGGAGTAAGATCAGATCAGTGTGAGAATGAGACACACTTTTTTTTTTTTTTTTTCCCCAGTTACATCCCAGTCTAAAGATTATATTGTGGAAGTGGGAGAAAAATACAAACTAGTAATTTCATATATGCTGCTTAGACATTGAATTGAATTCCTCAAAGTTAAATAAATTAGAAGAACCATAATGCAAAGACAGAGGTGTCAGCAGGATACAATTAGGTTGTGAATTGCCAAGCAGAGGTGTAACATGGAAAACCTTTATTTGTTGTGAGCAATTCTATTTGGATTACTCATAAACAAAACACTTCAGTCAGATTTCTCCCAAATACAGTTGAGGAGTACTTCATTGGCTCTCCTGTAGGTATTTGAGCTTGCTCCCCTGAAATAATATTGCATTTGTAAATTTATCCATCTCTGTATACATTCTCTTTTCCCTCATATATATTTGCTTTCACTTGTGAGAATCGTATTCCTGGTTTTTTGTCTTGTCTTTAATGGGCTGTATCTTGTTGCAATGTATTATGTATTATATTTAAAGTATGAGTACAGATATGCCACGGTCTATAAAATGCAAGAACATCTCTTATATATGGAGAAATTAATAATTTCCAGGGAAGGTTCTTTGTTCTTTGTTTTCAGAGAGAAAGTGCACTATCTTAAAGACATCTGAATCTCATCTGTAATTACAAAGTTGTCATTCCTTGATACAAATAATATAATTAAGTAATGCAAGCCACTAACAGAATAAAAGAGATTAAATTGTCTTTTTCACTCAAAACAGATTCTAATTAGTTCCTGACAGAAAGTTGTCCTGATGCAATGAAATATGGGCTAGTCTCACTATTGAGGCCAACGTCAGTGGGCTAAACTATGAAGGCTGGAGGTGGGTAGGTACACTCCCAACTAATTGCTATTCAGAGTTTTTCAAGTGTCCATTTTAGAAACAAACAAAAGCATCATTTGCCTGATGCAATATGTGAAATGATCTTTTTCCTGTGCAAAGCCTGTATTTCTTTCCCCTTCAGGACAGAACTTTAGAGACCAAATCATATACTGCAAGAAAAAATTTGAAGGTTCAGCTTTAGAAAAGGAAAAAAACAGGAATGTGTTTTCATGTTTCCCAAGGCCATTTTAGAGAAATCCTGCTTTCCTAGGCTTTTAACAATCTGTAACATATTAGTTTCTTGTGTATATATTCACTGAGAATGGCTACTTAATCTTAATTTCCAAGATCAAGACTGTAAATACATGGCTCTGATATGGAAGACTCACACCAGCAAGCTGCTGCAGTGCCCGAAGAGTCAGTGCGGAGTCTGCAGCTGAGCAAGCGGGAAAGCTGGTGCTTGTCCTTCACGAACAGTGGCTCTGCAGATCACAGTCCAGTCTCCTCCGTTCATTTCTGAACGGCAAATAAGCTTTCCTGACTACAGAAACCAAATTACTAGGTTTGCATTAGGTCTGTAGGATATTCTATTCCTTTTTCCTGGTGTCGCATTTGTTTTGTTTTGCTAGTAATAGAAATTTATTTTAGTTCTTTTGAAATATGGACAAGGAGGTTTCTGTGAGCACATACTCAGCAAATGCATCAATATGTTCTAACTAATGAATTAGCCATTCAGTGCCACAATAATTCACTTTATCCCTAACTGTTCCTAGGGAATTATTTATATAGTGACATTTCTTTATTAGCAAACTGCCATTTGCATCATTTTTACATTAGTGCTCTCATTATTAATTATACTTTTAATAATTCCCTAGTGCTTTGTCTCATCAGTAAAGCAAAATAGATGGTGCCCATGAAGCCTTTCGCCTTATCTTAACTCTATATCCCTAACACCATTGCCAATAGCACAAGAGTAGATCCATAATATTTAACTAGAGATTCTTCCCTTTTGTACGTTCCCTTGTCTCCTTTTCTCTCCTAGATGCCAGTATCCCTGAGTTTGTCCTGTAAAAGAAAAGGATGTTTCCATATTAATGACTATTTAAATAACAGAATTACATTGCTATTGTACTTGCTCCTTTCTGTCCCAGAAAATGACTATGAATTAATTAGCAATAGAACAGTGGAAATTCCAATGAATTTTAACATTTTATTTGGAACAGTGTGTGTGCATTATTGAATGATTTTACACCTCCTAATGCAAAACTGATGATATCTCTACAAACCTCTGGAGGAGTGTGTGAGGTCATTAAAGACAGATTTGCAAAGAAAATACATGGATTTCTCTCGCGCGTTATTCTTTCCTATGCTGATAATGCTATTTTTGAGCTATTGCTCAGAGTGGCTCATTTGTATTGAAAGATTCTCTTATCCTTTATCCTATTCATCTACCTTTCCAAAGGTTTTATTTCATAAGGGAAAAGAATGGTGGTTTTTCAATACTTAAAATGTTCTTGCAGGAAAATGAGAACTTACTTTTTCAGCTGTTAGTGTTGTCTCCAGAGATAATGGTCACTGAAATGCAGCCCAGCATGAAAAGCAAATATGCATGTCAGAAATGGAAATAACAGTTTATACCTGTCTTCATCGCTGATAGTTTATTCCCTCCATGAAGGAGGATTCCAGAAGTAACGTTGGTGTTCTGGCATCCAGGCATCTACGTGGGAAGAAAAATTATGAAGTTTTATTAAAAATTCTCCCTGGAATGTTTGTTCTAGATGTCTGCTGCTGTTTATTATTATCTGTAGTTTTAAAACAAAAAGGTTTCAAATTCATGGTTTCATGGAAGCTCACAACATAATTAACACCCTGCCAGTGACTGAGGAAGAAACACTGGCAAACACAATCCCTCCTGAAAGCAACAAATCCCTCTGTACTACTTACTGAGCAAAATCGTAGTGTGTTAAGCCAGGTGGATTGCTTAAACAGGTTTGTTTTCCTTCCGAATCTAGCGTTTTATCCATAACTTACACTTTTCTGCTTTGAAATAAACTTTTTCAAAATAGAGTAGCAACATGTATGCAGGCTCAAACTTACCACTCTGTATTAAAAAAAAAAAAAGGCATGAAATTAAAAGGCATGAAATTAATAATATTTAAGAAATATATTCTTGATGGTTAGGTTCTAAAGCAAGCAACTGAACAGGGAAGAAAAATACGGTCTATGCATTCTGAATGAAAGGCTATTGGAATGATTAAACAGCTTTTAACAGCAAACAAAGGAAATGTTTTCTTCATTTCAGTTTGATTTACTTCAATAACTAGTTCAAAGTTAAGGAACTGCGTAGAAACAGAGTAAGCTGGAGCATCATTATCTTTAAATGGTCTATGAATAAATGCTCATTTTGGGATGCTGAGACTTATGAATTCATTCATTAACTATATGTAAAATTTGCTCTAGTAATAAAAGGGTTTTAAGTATAAAATATTTGATACATTTTTCCTCTGTAAACAACATATTTATTGCAATTTTTTTAAAATAATAAATACATTGAAAAGTCTGGGGTTTTGCATTTCAGTTAAGTTCCCATTTCCATCTAAAGCAGCTTGATACGAGTCATAAGTAAATAAAAATTAATATTATGGTAAAGTAGAATTATAATTTTTTTCTAACAGAATGCTATGTGAATGTTAACCATTTAAATAATTATGTTGAACTATATCACATCTTAATGGGGATGTAAGGTATTTTTCTGGTAGTGTATGGAAATAAAAGATTAGTGTAAAAACCCAATTCAGTTGCAAAGCAACTTTTTCTTTTAAGTTTACCTACTGAAAACAATCAAACTGACTTGAAGAAAAAAGAATTATATATATTCAAAATAAGCATAGTAAGATTTTAAAAAAAATGGTTTATGGTTCTTCTATTTTCAAGTGAATAGGAATCATTTTCATTAAAAAAATACTTGAAAATCTGTTGAGAAATAATTCTATATTGAATTCTTTTAGTAAAAATTATTTGACAGGTTTTCCAGAAACATTATAGTTCAGGGCCTTGTTCATGGCTATATGAACATTAAGTCATAACTCCCTACTTAATAGCATCTATAGTCAGAATTTTAATTAAGTAGATAATTCTAGTATTTGTAAAACTAATTTAATTTCCAACAGGTATTAAATAAAGTTTTGACATTTTCTACTTGTTAAAATTCTGTTTAAAAGTGGTGAAAATATCAAAGTGGGCAATATTTTTCTCTCAGCAAGAGTGAGGCAGTTAGTTTAAACTTTGATGTAACATGCGTTATTTTAGTATTTAATTTATTTAATAAATTTAACTTAATTTTAATTATTTTATTTCATTTACTTTTTAAATGTAGATTTATGCTTACACTGTTATTGATTTAGTTTATATGGATATGATTCTAATTTTAATTAGAAAGACTTGGTTGCTTTAGATTAGGCTTCTTTAATGACTTATCAAAATCAGAAAATTCATATTCCTTCTTTAAAACACTAACCACAATGGTTACTCTTAAATCAATGGTTCATTCCCAAAATGGCTAGAGAAGCATTTTGGTGTATTTTGCTAGCCACTCCTATTCTTTTGTGTCCCACACACCAGTGTACTTATGAAGGGAATGAAATCTCAGCAGTAGAAGTCCATTCTCAGAGCTGGCTGAGCTGAAGAAGTAAGAGATTTTGTTATGTGAGTGGTGATGATCATATTTAAAGCAGCAAGGATCTCACCGGTTTCAACTAATTGCTGATATACTAATTATGACTTAACTGCATCTCCTGTTTCCTCCTAGGTCTTACTGCTGCAGCATCTCTTGTATCCCTGGCTTGGGCTTTGGCTTCCTACCAAAAGGCCCTCCGTGACTCCCGTGATGACAAGAAACCCATCAGTTACATGGCTGTTATAATCCAGTTTTGCTGGCATTTCTTCACAATTGCAGCACGGGTTATTACTTTTGCTCTGTTTGCCTCGGTTTTCCAGCTGTACTTTGGGATCTTCATCGTGCTGCACTGGTGCATCATGACCTTCTGGATCGTCCACTGCGAGACAGAGTTTTGCATCACTAAATGGGAGGAGATAGTTTTCGACATGGTCGTTGGGATAATCTATATCTTCAGCTGGTTCAATGTCAAGGAAGGAAGGACACGCTGTAGGCTTTTCATTTACTATTTTGTGATCCTTTTAGAAAACACCGCCTTGAGTGCTCTGTGGTATCTGTACAAGGCCCCACCGATCTCGGATGCATTTGCCATACCAGCACTGTGTGTAGTGTTCAGCAGCTTTTTAACAGGCATTGTTTTTATGCTAATGTACTATGCCTTCTTTCACCCCAACGGACCGAGGTTTGGGCAGTCACCAAGCTGTGCTTGTGAGGACCCTGCCGCTGCCTTCACCCTACCCCCAGAAGTGGCAACAAACACTCTACGGTCCATCTCCAACAACCGGAGTGTCACGAGCGAGCGGGATCAAAAATTCGCGGAGAGGGATGGGTGTGTGCCTGTGTTTCAGGTGAGACCCACCGCACCGTCCACACCTTCATCCCGGCCACCAAGGATTGAGGAGTCTGTCATTAAAATCGATCTGTTCAGGAACAGGTACCCAGCGTGGGAGAGACACGTGTTGGACAGGAGCCTGAGGAAGGCGATCTTAGCGTTTGAATGTTCCCCTGCTCCGCCACGGCTACAGTATAAAGATGACACCCTTATCCAGGAGCGCTTGGAATATGAAACCACGTTGTAAAGAAAACAAAACCACAGCTTGAAGAAGCTCCGACATTGCAGTCCAAATTGAGGGTTGACAGTAAGGCTGTAGGAATAACTAAACTGTGTACCACAAGTAGAGCAGCAAGCTGTCGTGTTCTTAGTCTGGCTATCATCATGATTATCATTTGATCCACTGTGTGCAGTCTGTCTGCAGGACACTGATACAGCAGCATCACCTGAAAGCCTCAAAAAACACCCAAACCCCGACCCATACATACAGATCAGTTACTTCAGCTGGGGAAACTCAACCACGACCTCTTGCTGCTATGAAGCTCTGACTGCACAGTACTTGTAATCAAACCAATAGGAAGGCTCTGACCGGAGCTTTCAATTTTAGCCAGTAGTGCATTTTATTTTAGAAATGTATGATTGATATTTGCATAATGAATGGCAAAATCAAACAAAACAAACAAAAAGAAACCCTTTCAAAAATAACAAAACTGTAGCACTCCATGTTGCTGTTAGGAAAACTGTTATCTGGGTAAAAATAGGAGCATAGTAGTCTTCAACACTCCCATAAATCAACCATTCAGGTTAGAATAGGTTTGCAAAATAGCTCTTAATTAAAAAGATACATCATCGTGTTTGTAAGGCTGTCAATGGAAAATAAACTAAATTCTGATTAATTAGGTCATAAACATTAATATTGCCAGAACTGTTTGCTTTCTGTGGAATTTCAAAGTCTCTTTAAATGCAATTTAAGTCCTTTACGTTACTTTCGAGAGAAATCCTATGCAGCTCACTTCTGGTTTTCAGGAGAGATAAGGAGCTCTAGCACGTAGTGATGTACATTAAATGATAATCATGATTCAGTGTTCAATTTGCAAAAAAAGAAAAAAATATTATATCTCTATCTGTAAAAAAACAGGGAAGTATAGTTTTCGTATTCTAAACTTTTTGGAGGACCCCATTCAGACATTTCAGAAGAAACCCTGAGGAGATGAACACACTGAAACCTCTCTGTTTCAGGACTGAAAATGCGTGATTCAGTGTGTGAATGTATGCAGGGGTGACAAGAGACTGTGACATGCCATACCCTTCTAGTGCCAAACATTCTATAACTGCAAGGTTGATATTGCCTGAGGGACAGATAATGAGTGGCACGAGCCCTACCTGAACAAGAAGCAGGAAAGACCAATCAAGTTCTCAACGTGTAGAGACAGCTCTGATTTTTCCCACCCAAGGTGAAAGTGATGTCTTTTAAAGGCTTTCAGCCACCTCTTAGTAAGTATATTCACCGAAGTATAATATAAGCAAGTTATGTGGAAGACCCTCTTCTGCCTCTTCTGTTCAAGACTTGTGTCTAGATATGTCTAAAAATTACGTCGAATCTCTTGTAATAGAGTGCTTTTGCTGCAAGCTTTTGGGTTCTAAATACCTCCCTAATCTAGTAAATGGTATCCTCCTTTGCGTTAAAAGTATCCCCTGATGGTGCTTTCAGATGCATTAAAGGTGCAAGTCAAAATTTGATAGTATTTTTTTTAAAGCTGGTGCAGAGTGAAAAACTCATGAATTATTTCAATATTTTTGTAAAGTATAAAAATATGGTATAAAAAGGTTACTTTTTATAAACCTCAAGTCTTTTAATACATTTCATTCTCTTTATAGCTTAGATTTTAAGAATTGGTCCATGAATTTTATCAACTGGCTTCTGCAGGTTGATATAAACCTGGTTTTCACACATTATGGATTTGTTTTGCAGTGTAATGCCATATGAAAGCCTACATGGGTACTTTTAGAATATAAACCATGGATCCTGCTTCAAATGTAAGTGGCTTGTAAAGACACCAAGCGATTCCATAAAAAACAATTTGCTATAACTATTTCCATCCGTTCTAGGAGAGCGAAGCAGAACTGAAGAGTTACTGTTGTAAATGGCATTGTCAGGATGGAGAAGACCTGATGATTGGTACTGTAACCTTCACTGTCAGGTATATCCAGTGTAGTCACTGCTGTATATGCTGCTGGGTAAATTTCAGACTTTCCTGTTACTCATATTTGTAAGACGAAATGGCCGAAGATACAGAGCCTGTGTTTGTTTGTATCCGTTCAATTAGCCATTTTTAATGTTGACTTTTTTTATTAGTGAAATGTTCAATACCTGTTGTTCTTTGCTGGGGCGAGTTCCTCAAAACAAAACCATCTGTGGAAGTGCAGGAATCTGCAAGTCAGAGGGAACTTTACACAGAAAACACCTGTGCTTCAAGGGTTTCTTAGGTATTTTCAAATTAAGCAGTGGCCAACTGCCTCTAGAATAATTTTTTAAATAAAATAATTCTTTGATAGTCCAAACCTGAAGCTTTGTACGAAGTGATTGTCCTTCCCTCCGTGGAGATATAGCTGATTATTCAGAGAAAAGCACTCATATTTTGTCAGAAAATATACCACTGCAAAAACTGCTAAAAAAATATTTTGGGAGGAAATCCTTTCTCCTGTTGAATTCAGTAGAGCCTTTGATCCAAAATCAAATGCTAGCTCGTGCAAGGAAATTGCTGTTTTTCTTTACAGACAAGACAAATTGTAAGCTTTGTAATCCAAGATGTGAAGGTTTCTCTTGGAAACAGTTCAGTGTGTTTGCTGCCACTGTAACAACTCAGAAATTTTAGCATGAGCGAGGCACAAAGGACAGCGTTCTCAAGCCCTTTGGTCAGGGCTTGCAGAATTGAAGAGACATTGTTTCACACAGAATTTAAAGGGTTATGGTCTGGACCGGTGCTTGCCTTGCAACGTTTCTGAAGACAGTTTGGGGTGAGTTTGTTTGATTTGCCCTTGTTTGGTTTTGGAAGGAAGGATGCAGAGGTGGTGTTTAAAATCTAGCATTTACTTTCTTTACTTTCCCAGAATTTTTTTAATAAAGTTTCCACACTGATCTTAAGCAAACAACTGCAGGGTCTGAGTGCACAGTGCCATACGTGGCAGTACGTATACACAGCTTGTCTTCAGAATTCAGTCTGGCCGTTTGAGGAAGGGGAAGAAGTCATTTTACACCAAGTCAAAATTTGCCCTCCAAAATCTTGCTCTGTTACGATTGTCACGTCAGTGACACTTGCACTGAGAACAGGATGGCCATTGAACAACACTCGGATGACTGCATGGACAGTCGTTTTGCTGTGAGCAGTCACATTAGAAGCTGTAAGCATTTTTTATGGAAGTTCTCAAGATTAAACAGTCCACGTTGAAATCCCATGATGGCCTTACAGACAGTTAGTAATCAATATGCACTATTTTTTTTACCACAGACAGTTTTAAAATCTATTAATGAAGCTCAATTAAGACAGCAGTAGCAAAAAAAAAAAAAAAAAAAAAAAAAAAATTTAAAAATTTAACTTCTGCATTTGAATAATGAAAAAAACAGATCTTTAAATTTCATTCCAGAATGACATATAAATGAAAAAGTTCATAATTATATTCTGGTAAAGAAAAGCAATTGTGGCTCTTTGTTAGAAATGAGAGTCATGTAAGCATTGTTCCAATAAATCAAACAGATTTGACATCAGATTTAACTTATCTGGTTAAAGACTTGGTCCTAAAGTTTTGAGAGTTGTGGATTTGTATGTTACAGAAAAGAAATTTAAGCAGCATTCACTACTCTAATTAGATAAAGGAGAGGTAGCGCATGCCCATGTTCATTCAGAAAACATATAAAAAAATGTAAGATAAACCTTTTTTCTTATTTTCAAAGAAATTTCTTCTATAATAAGATAATTTTTTTAAAATACTTTTTCTTTGAAAATATGTGCAACTTTTTCATGAAGATTTAATAATGAAAAAAAAAATCATTTCCACTTTTGTTTATGTCAGTTTAAATATGCTTCCTGTGCTAGATTTATATGTCTGTGCTTGGGTTATATGGGCTTGATGGCATATAAACACCATTTTCATTGGCAAATCAACAAATTTTCTCTTCACTAATTACCATAACATTTGAGAAAATTTTCCTTCCAAAATTAAATGCTAGACCTCAGCTGCCTGATTTTGTAAACTTTTAAGCAGAGGAGGTAAATTAAAATTTTATTGGAGCTGCAGTTTTTAATATGTGGTGGATAGCTATTAAACCCAAATTTGTTTAAAATAGATGATGGTCTAGCCAATATATCGTTATCTCCCCAGAAGAGCAATTAATGAGTCGTACTAAAAGTATTGAGTGCTGCTTTATTTGGAAAGGGACTCCCAATCACACAATATATTCATTTACTTTTTATTGGCCAGCAAATATTCGCAACCAGCCTGTTGGTTTTTTTAGAACCCAAATAAACAATATTGAAGTGTTTGTGATTTGATCATCCAACTCCTGAAGAGCCTTAACAGTGGCGCTGTACTGAGTTTTAGTTGGCTCTGCCAGTGATTCAGCTCCCAAAGCCACTGCCCTTTCTCCACTCTGTCCCTGAATTCGTGCCATCCAGAGTGACTGAGATGTTGTGATTTACTCTGCAGCCCCGGCACTGCCTGCACAATGCCAAGGAAAAGACTTCAGCACATTGCTGGGGTCCTACTGCTGCCTCTCTTGCTCCTGTGCATGGTGGGAAGCAGAGTAAATTGCTTTGTGCATCCATCTATCTACACAAGCTTGTTTAGGTTGAGTCCCTGTGAGACGTGCGTGATGAAAATAGTCACAACACGTGTCCATGAATTTACAAGCCCAACACTGTAATTACTAATTCTGTGGTATAACAATGCGGAATGTGGGAAGAATTATCTAAATATACAATAAGCCATTTAATTTTGCTAATTGTAGCAATTAGACTAGCTCACATGAAGCCCATGCTCTCAGCAGAAAGCCAAATGGAGTAAGTGGCAAACAGCCATTTATATACCAGAGACATTACGTTATTAAAACCTCCTTTGATTGTTTATAGAACTATGTCTTTTCATTACAGCATTTAATCCATTCCTCTTTATTCTGATAGAACAGATAAAATGCAAAATGAGAACAGATTCTTTTAAATCTAGGAATTAAAAAAACCACAACAGATTACT